TTGTACATAAATATTTTAGTGTAATAACCATTTATTCAGACTGGACTGATCCAGTCAGCAGCTTGTAGATGTGTGTGAATAAACAGATTTATTTATTCCATGCTAACTTTTTTGTAATTATGATTCATTTTTTATTCTTTAAAACTTACATGTAATGGTTCTTAAGTGACTACATCTGCTGTATTCTTATATCAAAAGTGCAAAAAATGTTATAAAACAAAGGGTGGGTTAACAAGACATATCCGAGCAAATCATTCTGATGGAAAACCTGATACAGTTGAAGCATAAGATTTTCTATCTGTTGAGACAATAACATTAGTTAATGAAGCTATAAATACTTTGCTAAGTAAAAAATACTATCCAGACATAATATTAAATAAAATATCTCAATATAATAATGTAATAAATGATATATTATACCAACAGCGCAACAAAATTTACAAAAAGTTAGTAAATGAAATGGTGAAAACTTTTACATGATGATGAGTCTGATAAATAGTTTAATGATCTTGAAAAACCTTGCAGTACACTTATATCAAAACCTTGCAGTACACATCAACAGCGTTAACTGATAAAAAATTTTATTATAACAAAACATCTTTTTCAGAGAATAAATCAATTGAACTGAAACCCATATATATGCAAAGGAATTAGATGGTCAGCAATACTTGGCTGGCTACGTTTCGTAAAAACTTTTAAAGAAAGCCAAAAACAGTAAACATCAATCTGAAGAAAACCAAGCAATTATTTCTATTTTAAAACATTGTATTCTTGGAAAAAATTTATCACATGGACAAAGACTTATTGATATTCAAAACAGAAGTGGACTGATCTCACTTACAGAAGAGTGTCAACAAATAATTATTCAAACAGAAATAAAATTTCGGTTTGAAACTCTAAATTCAATGTTGAGAAAAGTTGACATTTGTTTGTTTTTTCATAAAAACACTTAACAACAAACTTTTTTTTTTTTGCTTATGTTTATTGATGAATGCTAATGATTATTACATTTTTGTTGAAATTCTTTTATTGATGAATGACAACACTCTGAGTCCTTTACTCTACTCAATCTTCTCGAATTATCATTCAATACTGATAGAAACCATATATACAATCTATTGCAAAGTTAGTATCTTATAATGTTGCCTCTCTTTAATTTTCTTGTCATTTTCCTAATCCTGATTCCATTTCCTATCTCTATAATTTTCTTATTCATCCTAGTGTGGAATACTGTTGTCATATTTTGACCGGTTCTTGTAATGATGCCTTTTTGTTTGGAAAAAGTTTAAAAACAGTTTCTAAATGTAGTCAGACCTGTTTTAGCTGCCAAACTTGATTCCATCATAAGGTTGTACCTTTCTTTTCCACAATTGCTACTGCAGCTTAAGTGATGATGATGATGATGCCACAATTGCCACTGCAGCTCAAGTGAAAAAAAAAAGTTTAGGTAAGATGAAAATGTTTTCTCTGAATTAAAACTAAATATTTTCAAAACTTATTCTAAATGCAATAATTGCTATTGAAGTACTGAAGCGTTAAAGTTTGTCTTTTCTTAAATAAATAGCAACAAATAAAATAAATCAATAAAATCTTTATTATTTATATCTTCAATAAAAGAATAACCTCAATTTCACTGTCCAAAAGCTGTTCATTTTCTTTATAAGCAATCCCGAAACTAATGTCCTAAAACATGATTAGTAAATAAGAATAAAAACAAAAAGAAAAAAAATTATGATATATGCAATAAAAAATCAGGATTAAAAAATATTTAAAAAAATAATAACTTTTGGAGATGACTCAAACTCCCAAACCAACTCAAATTTTATGCTTCCAATAACTAAAGGAAAAAGACATTGAGTTCCAGCTGTAATTAAAAAATCCATTTTGTCACCTGGACCCTCATTATCTTGTTGAACAATAGGTACAATAGCATTTTGTTTGATGTCATTCTCATAAAGTCTTATAGATTCCATATTCTTGCTAATTATTTTTGAATTATTGACATCATTCTGATCTAGTTCTTCAAAGCCACCTGGAGACAACTCGTCTAGATCCTAAAATTTAAAGAAGTAGAAATTGTTTTAATGTAAAACTATTATTATATATCATATTAACTATATTTATATATATATATATATATATATATATATATATATATATATATATATATATATATATATATATAAAGGTTGTGTACTATATAACAAAATAACACTAGAAATATTTAAAATTAAATTTTTGCTGTTTAAAGTAAGAATTTTAATGCCTTAATTTTTGAAAAATATTTAAATTATTTAGGTTATGTTTTTTAAATTATTAAGGTGAAAAGAAATGTAATTTTTAATTTTTCTATTTACGCTGCAAACCTCAAAAATGAAAACATTATATCATATTAGAAACTGGAAGCTGGATTTAATAATATAAAAAAAAAACAGTGGATAAAAAACTGCATTAAGTTCTGAAATAGAGTTGTTATTTGTAGGTTGGTTGCACATTTGTAGTGAATGGGGGTAACTTATTGATTCTTTTACACTAAGGCTCCTACTCAAGGACATTTTAGATAGAAGAGGCAACAATATTAAGAAAGTTAATAAAAATCTACTTGGTTGTGATTTTGTATATGATTTTTTTAAACAATACAAAGTTATTTAGGCTGTCAGAATGTAACAAAACATCAAGTGTTCAAGAGCTGGTGCAATGCCTGAAATAATCAATGCTTACTTTGAGGGACTGTCAAAAGAATTAAAGGTTGTACTTTTTTTAATTATTGTAAACTACCATGAGAATAAACTGACACCCAGAAAAATGTAATAGGGAGAGGGATAAAATATTCTGAAAGATTAAGTAAAAGGGATTCACATCTGTTATATTTTCAGAGGCTGCAGATGGCACCATATAAACATCTTATAAATTTTTACATTTGTATCAATGCTGGACAGAAGGAATACTTAAAACAACTCAACATAGAAGGATGAAGTTATACTATGTTGTGCTATTTTAAGTTACACCTACATAAAGAAGTAGATCAGCAAAATTCAACTACCAATCTTGTTAGCAATGAAAAAAATTTCAAACCAAATTTTCAAATCTTTGTTGAAAAAATCCTTTAAAATTTAAAAAAGAATTGATTTATTCTCAAATGATGGTAACTACCAGTATGTTTTGCAAGATAGCAATGAAGAGCTATTTTTGAATGCAGTAGTGGTGTAGGGGTAGAGCACTCGCCTCATAAGCATGAAGTTCTTTGAGGAGGTGAATCGAAATAAAAAAAATCCTTTAAACGCAGATACCCAGTCAACCTGGGTGACTAAATGGTGGTTAAAGTTTATGATGAAGCAAAAAACTCCTTTAGACGTAACATTTTTAAAGTGAACTACCTCAAAAATGATGGTTTTGAAAAAAAAATTAATGAAAGGAGTGTCACAAACAAATAATTTCACAATGAATGACAAAGAACCTTTGATCTGCAAATAAGATGAGATTCATATATTATCCTCTCAAAATCTTGTTTTAAATACATACTTCAGTTTAAAGATTTAACAACTGATGTTACAACTTATTAAAATTTTTCTAAAGTACCAGTTAGATGTTATTATATACTATCTAGAGATTAAGTATCTATATCTAGTGAAATTAACAGAACATGGTACTTTTTCTTGTTTTTTGGATTATTTGCATTCTTTTGTTTTTTGAAGAAAGATAGCAAAGCAAATTATCATAAATTAATAGCAGCACTACAGATGTGAATTTTGGAATATAATTTAAATTTTTTACTTTTGTTGGATACAAAAATTTTTAATCTACATTTCAAAAATGTTTCTAATCACCCCTTTCTATGATATATATCAAGCCTTCCCAGGAAGCGTGTGCAGTTGCATGCCTTGTCCATACACATTAAAAATAAATTATTTAGACACAGCAGTTCCCATCTTTTAGCTTTTAAAGGGCTTTAATAATTCCTGGCAAAAAGCTAAATTTATTTACTGAGAAAAAAAAAGAGTATTAAAAAAAGGAATCAAAACTGTAACAAATGTAAAAAATTTAATAATAAAATTAAAAAAAAAAAATTTTTTTTATAATAAAATTTTTTCTATACAACTTTTGTATTCTTTTTTTAGGGTGGTTGATGCTTTTAACTACCGAATTTGATACAAGTAGAGTAAAAGAATTATTATAATTTATAACAACTTTACAACAATTGCGGTAGTGGTGTAGTGGTAAAGCGCTCGCTTCATAAACGAGTGGTTCCGAGTTCGATCCCCACCACGTCCCTGGTAGTACCGCGCTCAACTCGTTTCTCCGCGCAGCGGCCTTGCTCGTCAAGGTTCGTGTTTCGGAGTTATAGAGTTGAGAGAGGGTTATAACCATAATTAAGTACCCTCCTCGTCTGTAGTGGCCTTCTCGGCCTTGAGGAGGTGAATTAAAATAAAAAATATAAAAAAAAAAAAAAAAAAAATTGAAAGTTTTGATATGCAATTTATTCACAATTTTTATCAGTTTGTACATATAAGAAACTAATATGCTATATATGCTAGAACTATGATAAACTTTGTAAAAAAAATTTTTATGTTTGTTCATTTTTACGCCTTTTTGCTCTTAAAAATGTTTTTCCAAAATTTGACGTTTATTATATTATATTTATTATATTATATTTGGCATTTTATAAATGTGGAAATGTGCAATGGATCAACCTGTTTGACAGCTATATCAGGTAGAGCACAAACACCAAGTATCAAAATAACCCAAATATCAAATATCAAAATAAAATCAAGAGATAATAATATTGATGAAAAGTTTTTAGCAAACAATTCGGCTTTGTCTTTAAGTGAGGTGACAAAGTTTGAATCATACAAGAGAGGTGTAATAACAGATTTGCCCTTATTATTGATACTGATAAAGATTTTCCAGAAGTCACGAGAGCCTAATTTTTGTGATGAAATACAAGATTTTATTCATACACATATGATGCCTGTATGAAACTGCTTCCTTTATATTGCCCATTTTAAACTTTTTCAACGTTAATACAAATTTCTACAGATAATGAACATAACCATTGCTCTGTTTAAAAAAATGTATTTAAAAATTTAAAACAAGTTTTAAATAGGCTCCTAAAAATATTTTTTAAAAAGTTCAGCAAATTAACAATGCTTTTGCCCACAAGCTTTTGGAGCATCGTCTATAACAATAGTTTATCAGCAAATAAACTATCAAATAAATTGCTGTATTGTTATTATTATACTGGTAAATGCTTTTATTTTTTGAATTAATTTTTTTCAAATTTATGTATTTATCAGCAAGATTTAACAAAATAAAGATTTTAAACTTTTTCGTAACAAAAAGAGGAAATAAGATTGCTTCTCTAAATATTTCTTTATTTTATTTAATATTGATTATTTTAATATAATATAAAAATTTTTTGTTATAATTTGTGTTATTTTGTAATATATTTGTTACAATATAATTATAAAGCTTTAATAATGGCAGTATATAGTAAATATAATTTAAGTAAATATAATTTTTAAGTTAAATTTTTAAGTAAATATAATTTAAGTATAATTTTTAAGTAAATATAATTTTTAATAATAACTTTGTAAATTATGTGTAAACACGTAATTCTACAGTTATAAAGTGCACCTGTGATATCCTTAAATTTTTCAAGGCGAACAAACTCTCTAAAAAAATTAACTTAAAAATTAACTCCTAAGGGGGAGAGGAAGGCTTAAAATTTGCTCGTGAAAATATCAGATGTACCCAAATAATTTTCTGCCCCTGTTAGGAACATAGAAAAAGTGTTAATCTTACTTTAAATAGTATAGTCATAATTATTAATATAATAATTATAATATAAAGATACATTAATGTTATACTAAATTTTATTTTATATCTTTTAATCTACATAAACTAGCATTAATTTTTATATTTTAATTAAAAAGAATATATTATTTATGCTAATTAAAAAATGTTTTTTGTTATATTTAATTTTTTTCATTTATTTAGCTTTGACTATAGGGTTCTGTGCTACTTCATTATTTATATTTAATTTCACTACTATTGAAATATGGTTTTAATTTAGTAAATTTTCATGAATTGAAATTTACTTTATTGATCATTAGCCAACAGTTTAGGAATAAAATTAAATTCAACACCATTAAGGTAAGAATAACTTTGTTTTCTGGCAACACTATTAATTTTTTATCATGTATTTATCATGGCAGTTTATTTAATAGTTTATGCTATACTTAAAGTAAAATTAAGGTTATAATAATTTGTTGTTTGTTTTTATATTACATCCCTTGTTAACACTGCTCTCAGAAAAAATTGAATATTCTTCTTTTCGAGAGGTATTATACTAATACCAAGAAACTTCAAAAATTATCCATTTAAAACCTTTAAAAGTTTATTACGTTAACTCATAAATTTTATAGTTATTTTTAAACAGATGTTTTAAATTAAGATGTAATTTTAAAATGCATATAAGAAAAACCATAAAATCAAGTCTTTCAAGATATATAAAGCTCAATTAATAAATAGTAAAACTTATTTAAAGGGCTTTGTCACTATGAAATATCCATCATGTCACTATAAAATTTTTATTTAAAGGGCTTTTTCACTATGAAATACCCATCATGGTAATGCAATATTTTGGATTAAGACTCTTACCATTACTCCAAATCCTTAGTTAACTTTGTCACTTTGGTTTATATTGTTTAATAAATCCAAATTATGTATCAAGTTCAGGTAAAATAAATCAAGCACTGACTTTGGAAAGAAAAAAAAAAAGATAGCCTAAAGCAGAGTATGTTTCTTACCACGTGCAAAATCTCATGGCTCCAAAAAAAGATAAATTTTTTTTCATAACAATAAAACTTTTTTTAATTATGTTTTTTTTGGTGTAAACTTTTAGTTTAAAAAAATAATTTTTTAATTTAAAAACAATTACATTTTCAAAACTTTGTTAGTTATTTAGCCAATTTAGGTATAGTTACACAAAATGGCAATGAAATGATAATAATCATAAACAAACTTCTTTTATTTGTATAAAATAATATATTAA